CCTAAGGGTCCATGGTACCCAAATAGTGGGTTTAGGGTTTAGGGTTTAGGGCTTTGGCCTTAGGGTTTAGGGTTTAGGGTTTAGGGTTTAGGGTTTAGGGTTTAGGGTTTAGGGTTTAGGGTTTAGGGCTTTGGCCTTAAAGTAGTCCCTATATAGGTACGTTGGGGCCAATGTCTATACTATAATACTATATGAGTACATGGACCCTAAGGGGAAGCCAAGAAGCTATAGCTCGAACTAGGGCTTAGGGTGTTCTCCTAGACAAATTACAGACAAGGTAACCTCCAAAAAACACTATAACAGCGACTGTAGGCAGGGCTTGGGCTAGAGTTTGCAATTCCATAAAGGGTTCCGCAGGTAACAACACACAAAGCATTGCAATTGCATAAGCCTAATGTAGGGGCCTTAATACTTATAGTATAATATACCCCCAAACCCTATTCTAATTATTAAGACCCCTAAACCAGAAACCCTTGTAGTAGCCCTTATAGAGCCCTTTAAGGAACCCTTTTAAAGAAACCCTAAAGAAATCCTATTCTAATTATCAAGGCCCCAGTATTATAGAACCTTATAGTAGCCCAAAGAGACCAAAAAAACCTAAAACCTAAACCCTAAACCCTAAACCTAGAACCCTTTAAAGGAACCCTAGTCTAATTCCTAAGGCCCCCCGATATTAAGCCCCAGGAGTCCTAGCAGATCTCAGGAGCATAGAGACGACCACAGAAAGGGTCGCGGCCTCCAACGCTTGAGGGTTTAGGGCCTAAGCCCTAAACCCTAAACTCTAAACCCTAAGCCTATTTAGGATTTAGGGTTTAGGGCTTATTTAGACTTTAGGAGTTAGGGTTTAGGGCCTCTTTAGGGCCTATTTAGGATTTAGGGTTTATAGGGCTTATTTAGGGGTTTAGGAGTTAGGGTTTAGGGCCTATTTAGGGTTTAGGGTCTAGGGCCTATTTAGGGTTTAGTGTTTAGCGCCTATTTAGGGTTTTGGGATTAGGGCCTATTTAAGGTTTAGAAGGGTTTAGGGTTTAGGGTTTAAGGCCTCTCTTGGGTTTGGGGTGTAGGGTTGCCCAAAGGGTCCAAGTAATAGTATGGCATATACTTTTGGGGCCAAAGCACCTGTGAAGTACCTACTATCATGGTATTTGAACCCGTTGGGAAACCCGAAACCCTAAACCCTAAATAAGCCTTAAACCCTAAACCCTTCTAAACCCTAAACAAGCCCTAAACCCTAAACCCTAAATTTCTATAGCCTACCCTCAATCCCCATAACCTAAAACCTAAACCTTGATCCCAGATCCTATGAGCCTCAACAGCCTTAAAGGAGGAGAAACCTTGAAGGAAGCCTTAATCAAAAGACGCCTCCGTAAACCCTAAACCCTGAACCCTAAACCCTAACCCCTGAATCCTAAACCCTATACCCTG